GGACAAGGAATTCAATGAAGCAACGACGTGTGCAACTCATTCACAAAAACTTCCACAGAATTCACATGAGCATGATGCAGTAGTTTGCAACAACGATGGTTCGAATATGTCCCGATAAGGAAATACCTCAGATATATTGAAAACAAAAAATTCATTTATGTATGATGGCCAATCAAATAGATTGATTTCAAGTGAGTGATATATATATTTTTTAATATTTCGGAAATTGTGCCAAAAAAACATGTAATAAAACATAAACATCACCATGAAAGCATCCTTGCCTAAACTGTACGTTAAAAGCATGACTGAGAAGGATTTGTCTTTTAATCTCAGCATGAAATCAACAAAGTGCAAAGGTAAAACAATATGATGATATATAGTAGACAACAACCAACTATCTATAGGAACAGAATGCAAGCAAACAATTGTCTTGAATAAAAATGAGACCACTCAAAGAGTGTCTTTAACGCCCTAATCTCTATGTCCAAACCGTTAACTTACGTACCGTCCGCTATTGAAGAGCCTGAGCCAATCTTATCTCTTAAGAATTTCTAGTGCGTCCCCGAGACTCGAATCCATGATCTTTCTCTTAAGAGAGACTTAAACTGAATTATGGTGCTGGGTCTTTACAGTGTCACTCAGTTGATGTAACACCAAAACAAAGTCAGCGAGAAAGTCACTCAAAAGTGTTGGTGATATCAATTTTAGCACGAGATTGACATGCAGAATGTTTGGTATAGGTGGTAATGCTATAGGTAAATCCTCAACTGTGTCATAGTCAATTATGTCGAAAGTTTGATCATCGCTATTAGAGTATTCAATAAGCTCAACAAATATGCGATGATCAAACTTTCGACATAATTGACTATGACACAGTTGAGGATTTACCTATAGCATTACCACCTATACCAAACATTCTGCATGTCAATCTCGTGCTAAAATTGATATCACCAACACTTTTGAGTGACTTTCTCGCTAACTTTGTTTTGGTGTTACATCAACTGAGTGACACTGTAAAGACCCAGCACCATAATTCAGTTTAAGTCTCTCTTAAGAGAAAGATCATGGATTCGAGTCTCGGGGACGCACTAGAAATTCTTAAGAGATAAGATTGGCTCAGGCTCTTCAATAGCGGACGGTACGTAAGTTAACGGTTTGGACATAGAGATTAGGGCGTTAAAGACACTCTTTGAGTGGTCTCATTTTTATTCAAGACAATTGTTTGCTTGCATTCTGTTCCTATAGATAGTTGGTTGTTGTCTACTATATATCATCATATTGTTTTACCTTTGCACTTTGTTGATT